AGAAGCCACAGCTGCATCACCCCGTGACAACGCTGTATATGATATCTATGACCCGAGTCCATCCCCGTGTGTGTGCATCAGCAGGACACCTCCCGGGGCGTTAGGCACGCTGCCAGCCCCGGCACCCGCGCGTGTCCCTGCCTCCCCCCCACAGACCCCAGGGTGATGGTCCAGAAGTGGAGGTAAGTTGGGGTGGGGAGGGGGTCTCAGGGATGGTCACTCGCTCCACACACGCTGTCCCCCTGCCTGACCCCAGGGCTGGGGCACATACAGCCCCATTTCCCGCAGTCAGTGTGAGGACAGAGGCAGACGCTGGAGCCTGGGGACCCGAGCCCTGGGGCTGCCCCACAGGTGGTCCCAGCCCAGCTGTAGGGCTGGGGAAGGCACACACTGCGTGTACCGGTGTGCCTCTGTGTGTGAGTGTGCGTGTGAGTGAGTGTGTGCAGGGTGTGTGTGCACACGTCTGCCTGGCTGCCTCGCACTCCGGAGCCTTCCACACTGAATGTACCCAGCGACCGCGAGCGAGGGGCCGCGCCAGCCCCGCTCCCGGCAGGACAGGGCCCCGCTCCAAGCGTCCACCTCTCATCCAGCCCATCCTGTGCAATAAACGTCAGCACTGACAGAGCTACACACGACTCCGTCTCTGCTTCTCCTTCGCCACCGTCCCTCCCTCCCTGCCACAGCTCCGGCTGCTTCACTCCCCTCACCCAGCCCTGGGAGCCCTGCCAGCGGGCACAGCCCCAGGCTGGGCTCCGGGAGGCTGCTTCGTCCTTTGAAGAGCTGCCAGAAAAACGAAGGTGAAAAGGCTCCTCCCAGAACCTCTCCCCTTGCTGGCAGCACCACGTCCTTGCTCCAGCATCAGCGAGGAAGGAGCTGTGAATGGGAGCCTGTGGGTACAGGGCTCAGCCAAGAGCTGGGCCAAGCACACGGCCCCAGCTGCACCATCTCCAACCACAAGCTGCTGCAGGAGCAGCACCCAGACACACAGCCCTGAGGACAGGAGGGCTGGAAGGCCACAGCCTTGGTGAGATGGGAGGCTCCAGGCTGGAAATGCAAGAGCTGGGCAGCTGCACTGGCCTGTCTGTGCTGCAGGAAAGTGTTGTTTCTGCTACAAAAATATTTCCAGAATGTGAGAGGGCTGTGAATAACCAAAGCCCAACCATTCAGACAAACAGCAGTGGTCTAGGGAGACATCAGTCTTACCTCCCCAGGACGATGAGGCAAGAGCACAGGCCTCCTGCAGACTCTGGGGAAAGATGCTGAGAAGGACACAGTTCCCATCTAGTATTTCAAAAAACCCATTTTATTTACAGTATCATACACCTCCATTCCTGTGTTAGTGGTTTTCCCTGCCTGAGAGCCAGGGAGAAGGGAAGTGGATCCCTGGAAACAAGTCAGGAGCCACAGAGGCTGCGCTAGAGCAGAGCAGTGACAGTGCCCAGCACCCAGAGCAGGGCAGGAGGCTCCTGCTGCAGCCACGGCCGGCTGCCTGCCCCTCCCTGCTGGGGCCAAAGGCTCCAGGAGGAGCTGGCCTGGCGAGCTCTGGAGCTCACAGCAGTGACAGTCAGTTGTGCCAGGGTGAGGACTGAGGGGAGCCAGCCCCGTCTGCCATCATCCCTTTACCCCCACCCCAGAGACGCAGCCCTCCCCAGGGCTCGCTGCCCTCACCTGGGACACAGGCAGGAACAGCAAACAGTGCAGAGCCCCTGTCCCCCCCCAGCCCCTCCTGTGCTCCTCGCAGAGGCCCAGTTTGCCCCAGCACCTTGGCTGGGCTGGCAGCTGTGCCCTCTTTCCCCACGAGGTGCAGGACAGAGGAGCCTCACGGGCCACTGAGGGAGCCAGAGCTAGTCCAGGGCCCCGCTGGCTGCTAGGGCAAAAAAGCCATCACCTTCTGGAGGTTGAATTCACCTGGGGAGGGAGAGGAGAAGAGAGGAGAGGTCAGAGGAGAGCAGGGGCAGGGCAGGCTGGAGATGGAGCAACTGGGAGAGATGCTGCCCCAAGCTCTGCTTCAGTTTCCTGCAGGAAACTACTTCAGGTTGGGCCAAGACAGCTGGGATCTCAGAGCTCCTCCAGGAACTGATGTCCCTCCACATTTATCTGGGTAGGAAGAGCAAGACAGCAGAGTGTAACAGCAGCAAGGCAGGAAAGGAAGAGAGGAGCACACGGCCCCAGGGTACAAACCATCCTGGCCACAGGCCACCGTGCTGCCTCTGGGGCTGACCCCAGTGGCTGGGCCACCCGG